TCTTTTTTTTTTTGCCTGAGGTGACCTTGTTCCCCCGTTGCGATGGCAGAACTTCCCTCGCCCGTCACACGCTCTGCCTGTCGCTCTCTCTGTCTGTCGCCATCCCTGACTCTGTCTCTCTCTCACCCCCGCTCTCCCCTCATCTCTCCCCCTGTCTCTCTGTGTCTCTGTGTCTGTCTCTCTCTCTCTCTCTCTCTGCCTCTTGGTCTCCTCTCCACCCTCGTCCTCGATCTGTGACTTCCTGCCTCAAGGCCACACCGAGTGAAATTTCATTATGCTCGGGTAGACCCAGGCGTCAGTGTGTGGCCTCACGGCCTGGTGGCACTGGGGCCCCGACACCAACACAGTAGGCACCTGTCCCCTTCTCCTCGTGGACCCTCCAGTTCGGTTCCACCTTGAGCTCTGGGCTTGCGGCCGCCAAGAAGCACCCCGAGGGGAGAAGCTCCCCAGCTCTGTGCGCTGCTCCTCCCACCCGAGCCGCAGGAGCGGGAGGCGGGCGGGCTCGCCGTCTCAGGGTTCCCGTGGGCAAGCACAGAATGAGGTTCTAATTTCATGCACATTCTCTATCTCATGGAAATAAGTCAACGTTGACCGGAAATCTGTAGCCTGGCACGTCGGAGGACACCGTGGTGCACGCGCGGGGTGTGGGGGGTGACCCTACCTTGCACTAATGTGCCCTGCTGGTCGATCTGGAACTCTCTGCTGGCCCACAGCAGTGGGAGCATGGGGGCCAGCGTGGAGACGCCCACCGGGAACTCGGGGTCCTGCACCGTCACCTTGAGCTTCACGACCAGGCCTCCAGCCTGGAGAGACACGATCTGGAGCCTCAGCTTCCCTCGCCTGTACAGGTCGGACACGGCCGGCGGAAGGGAACCTTGAACCTGGCCAAGGAGAGGCAACAGCCACAGGTTAGGGCGGATTTCCCATCGCCATCTTCAAAGCCGTTAAGTGGGGGGCCCCGGGCGTGGCTGACAGATGGTGCCCAAAATCCACGTGTCTGCTTTGTGACCAAGAGGAGGTGCCAGCAGCCAGCCTCTTGGGGCAAGCAGAGACATCCACTCTGGGTGCCCTGAAAACCGGTGTTAAAGTAACTCACGTGTCTGGGCGAAACAGAGGGACTGTTGGATTGACTGATGGGTTGATTGACCGGGGTAGGGGGGCGTTGCTGAGCAACAATGTCATGGCTAGTTGGTGCTGTCCCCCACTTACAGGGCTGTACCCCTCAGGAAACACACAGCCAGAGCCAGAGGCTCAAGGTCACCCCTACCGAAGCAAGAGAGAGACCAGGCGTGCCCCACCTGCCTGCCACACCACTCCTGCACGCGTGCGTGAAAACCACCAGAAAGGAGAGAGAATTCTCCCAGAAAGTTCTACACCGATTTCTTCTGCAGGCGAATGCTGAGACACAGCCGTCCGTCAGGCGCTCGAATTTCTACATGTTTTGCCAGTAGAAGCGCTGGCGGCCCTTTTTTTCTAGGATATCATTCCAAGAGGTTTGTATGAGGAGCAGCCTTGGAGGAGAGAGGTCATGATCCCCTCCAGGCACAGGGCAGAAATGTTCGCCGTCTGCCATAATAAGGTGATCGATCTCTCTTTCTGGATGGAGCAAGGCTTAGGCAAGGCTGTGTGCAGCCCATTACAAAGGTTCAGGTTTCCTAACCTTGGGGTTCCTCCACCAGCATGCGGATCCCACTGTGTGTGCCTCACCCACCGGCACCCCTCTGAATCACCCCCGTGGGACCTGGGGGCCAGAAGGGGAACTGGCACCAACATGATTCTCAAGATGCCTGCTGTGCTGTCAGCTATAAAGTTCTTGTATCTCTGGCCCAGGCGTCTTCCGCCCTCATCCACGCATCAGAAACAGGCTAACTTATTAGTTTGCAAGAAGGGTAAAACCTTAGAGCAAGTCACTATTTTCTGCAGCTCATCATGTTTGCCACCGATATGGTTCTCCCAGGCTGCGTGCTAATGTCTCCCTTTGGCCACAGAGAGGAATGGATGCCGTGGTCACCGGTGAGCGCTTCCTCGCCGAAGCTGCTCCAAAGCGGAAAGACCGATCCCCAGGCCCCCCTGGTAGGAAGATGACAGCAAATCCAGCTATGCCATCACGTGGGGTCACCCATTTGGATCAGAGAAGGTTTGGCCCCGAGTCTGAAGTCCCCAGTAAAGGGGAAAAGCATCGAGCGATAACTGTGGGCTGTGGGCTCGGCCGTGTGGCCGTGGGGATGTGTCCCAGAGCCACCACCACAGAGCCAGCGCTCAGGGGACCGGCCGGCTCGTGTGCGAGGGGAGCCCAGGGTGGGGCGCTGAGCTTTACCTCGTGGAGCAGCCGTTCGGAGAAGCGCTGGTGCTCGAGGCTGCCGGGGCTCAGCAGCGTCTCGGCCACGCTGTGGTTCAGGATCGTCACGGTGACTTCGAACACCCGGGCATCTGACACGGACAACCAGGCAAATCAGCGGAAACCCGGTGACCTAGTATCAATCACGTGCTTTCCTGCCCGTGTTTCTCAGAAACGCCCTCCCCCCACCCCCCCAAAAAATTCTATCTTTTTGAGGAGAAATATTTTAAAAAAGAGATCAGGGCATGAGTGTTAGGTTGGGACAGACAAACGGAAGGAAACCAGAATAAGGACTCCTTGCCTTGACGCCGGGTGACAGACACTCCCGACCTAAACAGACGCGTCTACTGCCCAGGCAGGGACATCGAGGAACGAGGTACAGATGTCGCACACACAGTCCCCACCAGTGGGAACTGGGATTCAGCCGGCGCGTGTGGGTATGAAGCCCCCACCCCAGCGGACTCTCACGCAGGGCGGCCGCTGCCGTCTTCGCCAGGCCACGCCCCCTTGGGGGACCAGCTTGTCCCTGTTGGCCCTGGACGTCCAGGTTTTCAGGCCAGAAGTCCCGCTTCTCAAAACCCACCCTGTCCCAGGCCAACTGGTGGGGCTGGTCCCCCCTCAGGGTCCCGTTCTTTGGACGAAAGCGAAACTGGAAACGACTCCAGCGGGGACACAGGAAGACACGTTCTGTTCCTCATCACCGAGAACAAAGCCGCCGTCCCCAGCAGACGGACCTGCAACTCTGCGTTGCTCCAGTGGCCACTCGCAGCTTCTCCCACCCGCCGGCTCCCCACCAGCAGCAAGCTTCGGCCAGGGAGGCAGTTTATCACGCTGCACGTACCACGTGAGGCCACAGACGTGTCACCAACATTCCACGTCGTACATTTCTAGATCAGGGACCTCCCCCACCGCACCCCCGAGCTTTCTCCCATCTTAGCAAGAGAAACAAGTGTCATTTGTGGCCCATGATGCTCGGGCCTGGATGTCAGCCCCCATCCTATGCTCCTGCTGGAGCCTCCTGGACAATCAGCACCCACCAGCACCCAGGTGGGTCACCTGAGGCCCGGGTACGGGACTCCCAATGCGCAGGCTCCTCGTAACGAGGTCAGATTAGTTAGAGCCTTTAAAGCAAATCTAGCTCCCTACAAAAAGGAACTTTTACACTGCGGAGAAGGAGGCTTATCTGTCCTGCATTAGAGTGTAGGTATTTTTCGGGGTGGCGGGGGGCAGGGCGCGAGCTCCTACTTCACGTCCAGACAGAGACAGGCTTGCCCTGCAGACCTGGCTCCATAAAGTGTCACGTCAGAGACGAGTGGGTGGGGCGGGGCTTGTTCAGAGGTCGATGGCGAGCGGGTAACAGGAACTCAGGCCCATCCTCACTCCTGGGACGGCCCTCCCGGTCCCAGCGTCCTCACACGGAGAGAGTGCTCCGTCCGCGGACCCCCGGAGCACCTCGAAAGTGAAATGAGCAGGTGAGGTGAGGTGGCCCCTGCGCAGAGGCCGGAGGCTCACGCAAAGCCAAGGGCTCGCAGGTGGCGCTGGGGCCCTGGGGGCCCATCTGTGTGCTCTGACGATTTAACACAGGTTGGCCTCAGGTCGGCTCCTGAAGGATCCAGGGCCATGCCGCTGAAGGCCTGCTCGTCCCGAGCCTGGTTCATTCGCTGCCACTGCCACCGTCACGTGTTCGCCTCTGAGCACGAGACAGACCCCGTAGCGTCTTTCTGCACAGACCCCACCACGCACTTCCACGTCCGGCTGCCAGAGGCCAGACGAGCAGAGAACTCCCGCCACTGTGCCGAGCCTGACCGAGGCCGCACCACCGCCCAGGCACCCCCGAGCCAGGTGAGAGGAGATGGGACCATGGGGCAGGGCCAGAGCTGGCCACCCGCCAGAGCCTCGTGAGCCACGCCCGCTGCCTCTGGATGCTGGGATTCCCAGTTCATTCCCGTGTCACGTCTGGGGGAAAGGGTTTCACGGCACCGACAGGGTGGGCACGGATTCGCTCCCAGGTATCTCGCGGGGGGGACAAGGCGCGCTTTGTGCAGCCTGCATGACACTCGGGTCCTTTGCTTGGGGAAGTTAGACACATCCGCCCTGTAGAATTCGGTGCACGCAAACCGCCACCAGCTTCTGCTGCGTTACGCTTACTGCTTCACCCTGACTGCTTTATAAGACCTTTAAAGGACAGAAAGATGGGGCCCTCAGCACCTCAGGTGTCACTCAGCCCCAGCAGGACGAGGTGGGGGGAGTCAGGGGAGCATGTGACGGCCACGGCCGCCATGGCACTTCTCAAGGACACGGAGTGCCCACGGCCGTGAGGACAGGTGGGGCTGGGTTCAGGCCCTTTCCTGGTTATAGGAACCTCAGTGATTTTAATCACCGGGGCCAATGGGACCGGGATAGGAAGACGAACTCACGGGTAACACGTGGCGTTGGACAAGCGCCTTACCGGTTTTGACGGTCAGCCGGGCGGTGACGTTGGTCCCGCATGCCTGGTAGCTGGTCCTCACCCCATACAGCACCCCGGCCTCCAGCCCAGCCACGTCCAGGGTCGTCCCCTGGGTCCAGGCACTCCTGAGCAGCTCCTCGCCCCTGTAAACCTGCACGTGGAAGGTGCGCTTCCGGGTGGAGTTGAAGCTCCAGGACACTTGAAAGCTGCTGCTGGTGACACTCAGGGCCATGTAATCTTCGACGATGAGAGGGTCACCTATGACACAGAACGGGGACGATGTGAAGAACATCGGAAAGAGGCACAAAGCAAATCAGCGAGTGAGACTGCGCGAACTAAAACGCTTCTCCACGGAAAGCCATCGACGCGACGAACGGGCAGCCTGTGATCGTGAGATGCCACTTGCACGTCGCTCATCTGATCAGAGGTTAGTATCCGAAAGATTCGTGGAACTCGTACAACTCAAGAGCGAAACCCAAACAATCCAGTCACAAAACGAGCAAAAAATCGGAATTGACATTTTCTCAAAAAAAGACACACGGATGCGTGAAAAGATGCTCAACGTCACCAGGCGTCGGGGAAATGCAAACCCAAACCCCAAAGAGACGGCACCTCACGCCTGTCAGAATGGCCGTCATCAAGAAGACAAAAGATGACAAGTGCCGGTCAGGACGTGGAGAAAAGGGAGCCTCGTGCGCTGTTTGTAGGGGTGTGAGGGGTGCAGCCACTCCGGGAAACGCTACGCGGGTTCCTCGAAGAGTTAAAAATAGAACTACCATAGGACCCAGCAATCCCGCTTCTGAGCATTTACGCACTACCTTGAAGAGCTTTCTGGACTCCGATGTTCATTGCAGCATTATTTACAACACCAAGACCTGGAAGCAACCAACATTGTTTTTGCAGCTGTGGCCATTATGGTGTGTCGTGGGCTGAACTGTGTCTCCCAAAATTCCTATGTTGATGTCCTCACTCACGGTACATCAGAATGGGACTGTATTTGGAGAGAGGGTCTTTAAAGAGGTGATTAAGTTAAAGTGAGGCCATTAGGGCGGGCCCTACTCTATCTAACTGTTCTTTTAAGAAGGGAAGCCAGATTCAGGAGTCAGGCTAAATCTTCTTATGTTTTCATAGTGAAATGTATTTTTTTAGGAGCGATACTCTAATATAACACTCTAGTATATAATATTCTAATATAATGATTGTTGTATAATAATTAATATATATTTTAATGCCCAAATAGAATTAAACTTGTTTTTTGGAAGAAAAATTCTGGCTTGTAGCAAGCACCTGCATAATATGACTTATATAAAAAGTAAGAAGTATGGGGCATGTGGAGGCCAGATGCTGCTTGTTTGGAGTTTTTGAACCTTTGTGAGATTTTAGGAAAGTCCACAGCCTGATCCAAGACAGGCCATTTGCATGGAAAAGCCACTTGAAGTGGCTTGGGTGATCTTTCATGTTGGGAGGGGTGGGGTCTCAGGGAATCACCTTCAATCTAGGCACAAAAAGTTTTACATCAGAGTTTGAGTTTTATAAAATACAGGCCATGAAGAGATTTGTTTAACTCTCTTGCAAAACCACAGTAAAAGGGGCCTCTGGGACAACATCAAGCATACAAAGATTTGCATCATAGGGGTACCAGAAGGAGAAGAGAAAGCAAGGAATTGAGAAGCTATTTGAAGAAATAATGATGGAAAATTTCCCTAACCCGGTGAAGGGAATAACATACAAGCCCGGGAAACTCAGAGAGTCCCAAACAAGATGAACCCAAAGAGGTCCACACCAAGACACATCATAACTACAATACCAAAGGCGAGAGACAAAGGAAATCTTAAAAGCAGCAAGAGAAAAGCAGTTAGTTGCCAATAAGGGAGCTCCCATAAGACTGTCAGCTGATTTCTCAACAGAAACTTTGTAGGCCAGAAGGGATCGGCATGAAATATTCAAAGGGATTAAAGCAAGGACCTACGATCAAGATTACGCACCAAAGCTATCATTTAGAATTGAAGGACAAATAAACAGCTTCCCAGAAAATAAAAAGCTGAAGGAGTTTATCACCACCAAGCCAGTATTACAGAAAATGTTGGAGGGGCTTCTTTAAGAGGAAAGGAAAAAAAAAAAAGATCAAAAATATGAATAATAAAATGGCAATAACTACATATCTATCAACAATTATTTTAACTCTAAATGGATTAAATGCTCCAGCAAAAAGACATGGCTGAATGGATAAGAAAATAAAACTCTTACGTATGCTGCCCACAAAAGACTCACTGCGGATCAAAAGACACACAGACTGAAAGTCAAGGGACGGAAAAAGACGTTTCATAAAAATGGAAACAAACGAACAAACAAACAAACAAGCTGGGATAGTAATACTTACGTCAGACAAAATAAACTTTAAAACAAAGGCTATTCCAAGAGACAAAGAAGGCCCCAGGAATCCCACTTCTGGGTATTCATCCCCAAAAACCCAAATACTACTTTGAAGGGACATTTGCATTCATAGGTTCACTGCAGCATTATTTACAGTAGCCAAGATATGGAGACATCCTGGGTGTCCATCAACGGATGAATGGATAAAGAAGAGGTGGTACATATATACAATGGAAAATTACTCAGCCATAAAAAAGAAGGAAATCTTGCCATCTGCAACAACATGGGTGGACCTAGAGGGCACTGTGCGGAGTGGAGTCAGCCAGACAGAGCAAGACAGATGATTTCACTTACATGTGGAATGAAAGAACGAAATAAACAAACATAACGGAAACAAACTCATAGATACAGAGAATATTTTGGTGGTCGCCAGATGACAGGGGGGTTGGAGGTGGGTTAAAAAGGGGAAGGGATTAGGAAGTAAAAATGGGTAGTTACAAAACAGTCACGGGGATGTAAAGTACAAATACTGTCATAACTATGTATAATGTCAGATGGATACTAAGTAGACTTATCAGCAAGATCACTTCGCAAGTTATATAAATGTATAATCGCTGTGTCATACACCCGAAACTAATATATGTATGCCAACTGTAATTGAAATTAAAAAATTTTAAACCATAAAAAACAAATAATTTTTCTAAAAGTTTATCTTTCCAGACAAATGTATGTGTTTCCTTTCAGTAAAAAAATAAAAACCAGTATAATTCAACTCATTTCCCTTTTTGCCCTGGCTGCCAAGCAGCTCAGAATCAAGTTTGGTGCCCCATCCTAGTCCTAAGACTCAGCCCTGCTGTGTCCTCCTCCACCTGAGCACTGAGCCACCTTTTATAAATGGGGGTGTCCTGGGTATGTGTGCTTCCCCACTGTGAACTCCTGCTGGTCCTCCTCAAAGCAGGCAGATATAAACTACCGGAAGCTCATGAGAGAAGCTAGCCCAGCCCTCCCCGCCCCATGCCACGCTTGGACAGGATTGGGGACCCATCTAAACTCTCGATGTCCCATGAGAGTTGCCCTAGGATGAGGAGTTAGAGTGTATTCGAAGAAGACACATCTGTCCTTTTCAGATTTCTACCTTCTGGAACTGTGAGAGAATTCTGTTTCCATTGTTTATTCTCTTTGAAAAAAATTAAGTTGACCTTTTTTTTTTTTTTTTTTACATTTTGACCCTTTTTCGTTGTTTCAAACCACGAGGTTTGTGGCGCTTTGTGACAGCCGCCACAGAAGGTGAATCCACCTCCCAGGCTTCTTCCACTAGTGTCCGAGGCAGCAGCTGTCTGGACAGCACGAAGCTTGGAAAGTTCTTCGTGCTGCTGCGAAGCTGGCCAGCGTCTGGCACACTGAGGCCAATCCTGCTTCTGTAGGACAGAGCTCGCGATGTTGACCCGGAGGTGGTCCTTCTGCCCCTTACCCTCGAACTGGACCTTAGTCCTTCATTAGCCAGGATGCTAATGAGGGACTAAGGAAGGAGCTGATGAAAAGCTCGCATGGCCCTGCAGTTTTCAATGCCCCCATTAAACGTGGTCCTGGAAAGTAGCGCCTGATTCTTGACTGTGCATTCTGAGGATGCTATCGCTCTGTGGCCCTCCCCATCCTATGGTCGGGAGCTTGACCTTCATCTCGGTGAAGCACACGCGTTCCCCGGGTCCATGGGTCCAGCCCTGTTTCTTCCGGGCGGCCCTGCCCCGTCTCTGGTGAAACAGGAAGGGAGCTGGTAGGGGCACTGCCTGTCCCAGGATCTCCCGTGTCAGCTCTTGTCCTCGTTTCCCTTGGGCCTGTCACCCTGACACCTGACCCTTGTAAAGGTAGAAACGCTGAGGGTTCGAGCCAAAAGTCTGAGCATTCGCTGGGGATGAGTCTTGGCTTGGGTGACCTTCCTACCTGCCAGGCTGCCTCTCCAGTGGCCAGTCCTGCACTGGCCAAGCACGAGTCCAGGAGATGTTTCTATACGGAGCCGAGTAGCCATTAGGCTCCAGCTGGGAGGGGGACGGTGTCTGAAGGAGCTGGGATGACCCCCGAAGACAGTCCCACTCCATCCTAAAAACAGCTTGTGTTCCCGGAACAGTACGCGCCAACCATGCAATATTTCTTACGGTTTCTGTTTTGTGCAAGAATCCAGCTGCCCCGTGTGTCATTAATTGGGTGACTAATTTCACAAGAAAAGCATGTGAAATTTGAGCTGTATTTTCCACGAGTTCGTACCTCTAAACCATTCCAGCAGATTGCTCATTTATATTAGCTTCTAAATTTAAAACATATGCTGCTTCCCTTAGCAATATGCGACTGGAATTCACTCTAAGTTTCTTCGCTGACAACGCCGGATTTGCCTTTTCCGCCCTCTGAGGAGTGAAACTGGGTCATTGACCTGTCTGTGTTTACCTGTGGGCTGGACCTTTTTCCAGAAGGAACCTCGCAGCTCAGTATTGGGGCAGCGTGGTGGGGTCCGGGTGACAGCATTCTCAGCGGCAAATAGAGTGTAATATTTTTATCAGACCACGAACCAGAGCATGTTTAATAACTGTATTCCAACCTTCTCTTCTCAATGACAGGACGGGATCTCCCCCCTGCCAAGGCCGTGGCCCATGAGACCTAAGGATGGTCTGCAGTGGGTCTGTGCACAGCTCTGCGGCACAGCTGTGCATGGAGGGGTGCACGGTTCTCATCAGACCCTCACAGTATCGAGCTGCACCGCAGAGGAGTGTCTCGTCAAGCGGAGCTGGAAGGTCAAACTCCCAGAGTAGCCGCCACTCAAACCTCCCTTGTCATTCATTGATATCAAGTATGTTTGGAGTGACTGCTGTTTGCCAAGCACGGGAACTGATGGGCAGTGACCAAGAGACCTGTCCCGTGGAGCTCTGTCCTGGGGAGGTAGAACGTTCTGGTGGATGAAGACCCACCCCGGACCCTCCGGGTCCTCAAGTGGTGCTGGGAACCAGCCCCTCCCCCAGCCCTCAGCCCCCTTCTCGACTGCCGTCCGCAGAGGGGAGGACACGGCCACTGGGTGACACGGCGCTGTGCCGGAGGGCGGCCCCTGGGAGTACACCACAGGGCAGCTCCTCACGGATAAAAGGAGGCGACACCGGAATGTGCTTACGACAGAGCCGGTGGCTAGGCGGCCGAGCAAAGGGAGGGTCCTCGCCCTTCGGCCCCTTTGAAGAGGAAAGGACACGCGAGTTAAATTAGGTCGTTCGAACGTGATTGTGACACCGTTCTCTAAAACCACCTCGCGATGTTACTGATCACTCTAGTTTTTATAGCAGGATGTTGGCAGCAGCCTAAATGCACCCCCCCCAACACACGCACCCCGAGGGAAACAGCCATGAGCATCGCTCTGTTGCCAGGCAACATCGTTACACCCAACCATCGAAAATCGGAGCTCTGAAGACCAGGCTGCCTCGTGGAAACCTTTGTGACACAGCGGTGACTGAAGAAAGCAGAACACGAAACCGCACGAGAGCAGGATTTCAATACAGTAAAACGAGCAAATGGACAGCGACAAAAACCTGGACGCGAACAGGGAAAAACGAGAGAGTTTGCTGGGGCTCGAGACCCGGGGAGACTCCCCTGCCACCGTCAGAATGCGGTCGAAGCGACGTATCAGATTCCGGAATGACAAGAGCGAGACGAGTGGCCAAAGCGAGTAGGTGGCACGTTCCAGGCTGAACGCCCTGAGAGGCGGCGAGGCCAGGAGGCCCCGTCCCGCGGGCCCCTCCCCACCCAGCCCCTGCCCAGAGGGTGCGCCCAGCTGTCCTGGGGAGGCCTGGTGTCCGCCTGGCCACCTGCTCCCAGGGCCCTGCCGGACTGTGCCCCCCGCTTCCTGCCTTGCCCCTTAGAGTGGGGTCCGCTGCTCCGTATGACAGGAACCCCACCTAACGGGGTTGTGCGGTTTTGATAAGTCTCAGTATCGCCAGTGTTTCCGGCATCTACTATTCCGTGCACTTGGGAACATTCTGAGAGGGGACACAATGATGGCTTCGCCGGGTACTGAGGGGTCCAGGCACCATTATTAAGGGAGGGGTCTGCCCCAAAGATGACTGCGGTTCACCGGAGACCCAGAGGAGGGGATGGGGTGCTAGGGAGCCCCGATGCTGGCAGATCCCCGTCCAGGGGAAGTGGCCGAGCCGAGGGAGTCACAGGAGGAAACGGGGGGCGAGGGGAGCCGCAGACACAAAATAGAAGAACTTAAGAGGTGGCATCAGCGATCGTTGGACCTGATATAACTTGCAATCGAAACAGACTATTAAAAATTGTGATAACAATGAGACAAATAGAAATTCCAACAGACTGAATGCTGGATGATGTTAAAAAATATTGCCTTGTTTTTCTAAGGGATGATATGATATGGCACTGTAGATTTTTTAAAAAATGTCTCCTATCTCTTAGAGATACACTCTGAAGCAGTGACAGATGAAGTCAAATGAGGAAGGGGGTCTCAGACCATGGGGTGGGGGGCAGGGAGAGTAAATGGCGATGGAGATGAAGCAAGATGTATTTATATTCGTCTACAACTTTTAAGAGTAAAAAGTTTAAAATCCCCACGGCCTGACCACGTCTGGGCCCCGCCGGCTTCCGTCCCAGGGCTCCGGCTCCGGCCTCCTGGACCCTGGACCCCACCAAGCACACGCCACCCCGGGGCCCTGACCTGACCCTTCGTGTGAGTTTCCTGAGGCTGCTGTAACGCATCGCCCCAGACCTAGTGCCTTAGGACAAGAGAATTTCCTCTCACGGTCCTGGAGGCCAGAAGGCCAAAGTCCAGGTGTCCCCAGGACTGATCTTTCTGGAGGCTCCAGGCGAGAATCCACCCCCTGCCTCTTCCAGCCTCTAAAGGCACCTGCGCTCCGGCCGGGGGTGCCGCGTCTTCTCCCCTCGCCGTTTCCCTCGTCACAGCCCCTCTGACTCTGACCCTCTGCCTCCCTCCTATCCCTCGTGACCACGCTGAGCCCACTCAGATTGTCCGGGATCCCCTCACCGTCTCAAGATCCTCCGCCTGATCCCATCTGCAAAGTTCCTTCTGCCGTGTAAGGTGACAGTCACAGGTCCCCGGACATTGTCGGGGACCATTCCTCAGCTCGCCAGGCTCCTCCCGCTCTCTCATCGGCCCGCCCCTCCGCCAGCCTCATTGCTCAGTTCCCGGTGCCACGCGGGTCTCTGCCCGAAGGTCACGCCGTCATCACACGCGGGCCGTCCCAGCTCTCTGTCTCCTACGCCATCTTTCTTTATAGCCAAACCATCGCCCCGGGGTCTGTTTGTCCTCATTCGATCATCGTCTCTCTCTGAAGTGCGAGTTTTTAGGGAGCAGGGCTTGGACACTGAACAACCCCAGTGAGAACAGTACCTGGCGCGTAGTAGGCACTCATTAAAATGCGTCCCATAAGCAAATGAATGAATGAATGAATGAATGGATGGATGAATGCTAACCTGACCCTCAGCGCCCATCCATGCATCTCCCCCTCACTGTCCCAGCTGCCAGCTGAGCACCTGCAGCCTCGCCCACCTGCACACCTGCAGGCTGTGGGCACCGAGACCCCCTGACCACACGCCGGCTGCCAGAGCAGCTTCGGGTGACCGGCACACCCATTTGGGGAAGGCCTGTGGGAGGGGGAGAGGTCCAAGGGCTTGACCGGGTCCTGGAGCTATGAGAATCCGCCGAGGTCCCTTCCCTCAGCACGCGGCCTGCTTGGGCATCACCCATCTTCCAAAACCACCCTCCCGGGAGCGCCCCGACTCCAGCTTAGTAAACCTCCAGCAGGGGCCGCCCCTCCCTGACCCCAGAGGCTCTTTCCCGCTGTTCTTCCCGCCTCACTCCGTCTTTTGCAAGCCCCCCCTCCTTTACTGACTTCTGAATATTGGGGTTCCTCAGCCACAGGCCCCAATCCCCGTTCCCACGCCCATAGTTGAAATGCCACGCGGATGCTGACGACACCAGCAGGTGAGCAGGCGTCCTGCTGATGCGGTGCGCCCGGCCAGCCTCTGGCGTGTCCTCGGCTGTTTTTCCTGAGAGCAGAGGTGACAATCTGCCCGTACGTGTGTCTGTCACCAGCGTCCACACAATGAGTGGCGCGCAGCGAACTCTGGTGACATCCAAGGACGGATGCAAGGCTCGTTCGCGACGAGGACAGGGACGGCGGCAAGAGTGGCGGCGCTGTCCGCGAGCCAGACGGCCCGCCCTTCGCGGGGACAGAGGGCCCCTGGGCCAGGGGCCGCGTGGCTGGAAGGGCCCCCGAAGGCCAGTCCCAGGCTCCTCACCTTCGCACGTGCAGTTTGGCTTCTGGGGGGACGAGGTCAGCGACTCCGGGTGGCTGACACACTGGTACGAGCCCTCCAGGTTCAAACACAGCTCCCCTTCAGCGCAGGCATTGAGTTCCTCATGCGAGCATTCGTTCAGGTCTGTTAAAAAAAAAACAGGTGAGTGGCGAGCACCTGGTCATGCTCGCGAACCTCCAAACGCGTGTCCTCTTAGCCCCCAGTACTGAAACCGACTTGTCCGCCTACAGGTGCGTTCCAGTGGCCTCCGGCCAGAGTCCGGGCCGACAAGACAAGCTCCTCTCTGACTGGCCTCACTCAGTCGGGTCTTCGAGAAAGTCTGTGGGTTCTGAAGGAAATTAATGCGATCTCTAGAGCTTTCTCTGGGCCCCGGAGCCTGGCATCATCACATGCGACCGTCACAGTCCTAGAAGGAGCTTCCCAAGCAAGAGCAGCCACCCTCCTGGGGTGCAGCAAACTCCTACTATAGGGAAGAATGTGCGGCTGGAGCCACCTGCTAACACCCTGTCTGTGACCCCTTCCATGTCACATGGCAGAGCCAAGCGCCTGAGACAGAGGCCATGTGGCCCACGGCCCACAGTGTGTGCTGGCTGGCTAAAAAGTTTGCTGACCCGTGACATGGACAGAAGGAGGAAGGGGGGGAGGAGGAGGAGGAAGAAAAGGGGGAGGAGGGGGAGGAGGAAGGAATAGGGGAGGAGGGACAAGGAGGGGGAGGAAGGGCAGGAAGAGGAGAGCCAGGTTGTGAGCGAGCCTGGTCAACAGGAGGGCTGGGAGGAGTGGGCATTGTCGGAAGATGGCAATCCCGAGGAGGAAGTGGAGGAGCCGGTGGAGGAGGGGGAGGAGGGGGAGGAAGAGGAGGGGGAGGACCTGCACGGAAGGAGAAACCTGGGCCTGGCGGGTGCGCCAGGGACATGGAGTTTAAACTTAGTTTGGGCCGCAGTGAGCTAGAATGGGTCAGCCACGCCTCGCCTGCTGGTTATTTCTGCTCCTGCCCCCTACCCCCACCACAGGAGAGGGCGGAGGAAGCAGCACCTTGCACCTGCAGGCTGACCACTTCATAGATGCGCTTCACGACGCCATCCAGCATCGCAGAGACGTTGGCCACAGGCACCGGCCGCGGCAGGCCCAGCAGCAGCTGGGATACTGTGGTCGAGGTGTCCCCACAGGCCGAGTGCAGGTGGTAGACAGTGGCTTCCATCGGCCGCAGGGCACCCGTGACCTGTGAGGTCAGAGTCAGAGCATCACCCAGTGACACTTCCCCATCAGACAGACAAGGAGACCGAGGCCCGGAGAAGTTACAGTCTAATGTGTGCACTCACGCACACACGCGCACACATGCACACACACACACGCATGCATGCACACGCACATGGCACACACATGCACACATGTGCGCACACGCACACACGTGTATGTGCACACGCTCACACACATGTGTGCGCACGCACACGCATACGCACATGCACGCGTGCACACACAGTGCGCATGTGCAATGCACACATCACATGCACGCAGCACACATGCATGCACACATGCACACACGTGCACGCACACGCACACACACACACACACCCTTCTGCTCTGCAGGCGTGAACCTCCACAATAGTTTTGTATCATCCCAGTAACGGCCCCGCAGACGGGATTATAAATGCCTCTGCAACGCCCATCGTCGTGGTGTGAATTGTGTCTGGCCCCAAATCCCTGTGTGGCAGTCCTACCCGCCAGGACCTCACAAAGGGGCCTCGCAGGTGCGGTCGGGCAGGGCGAGGCGGGGAGGCCGGGCCTGTGCCCCGTCTCGCTGGTCCCTTACACGGAGGAGCCTGTGACTGGAGACACTGAGAGGGGGTCCTGTGAGGACACGGGGACAGGCAGCCGTCTGCGGGGCGAGGAGAGGGAGAGGCCCTTCGTGTGCAGCCCCGGGCGGGGACAGCCCTGCCCACATGTCCGTCTCAGGCTTCTGGCCTCCAGAACTGTGGGAGCACAAAGGTCTGCTGCATAAGCCCCCAGGCTGTGGTGCTCTGCCACAGCCACCCCCAGAAAAACACTGGGGAACCCCCTGCCCCGTCGGTCCCCACCCTCGCAGCTCATGACAGAACTGGATCAGGACCAAGAGAGAACTGGCCGACTGGACCCTACACGGGGAGTGACACACACCTGGGTGAGGGAGCTCGCCATGCTGCAGCGAGGGGCCCGGGGCCAGGCCCCTCCTGCCGCAGCTCACGGTTTGACGGGGGTGACAACACCCACACTCGTGAAGAGACACCGAGTGACACGCAACAATATTTAAAACACCGACAACTACAACTCGGGAGCTACATGTGTCAGCACCGTTTCCAGCTCTTTCCATGGACGTTCAAAGTGCACGGCCACCGTCTCAGGGAGGTCACGACTGTTTCCACGTAAAGGAGGAGGTCTCTAACACAGAGAGGCTAAGTAACCCGCCCAAGGCCGCACAGCTGCCCAGTGGCAGTGCTGGGACTGGAACCCAGGCAGTCTGGCGCCTGACCACGCTCCCACTGGCCAACAGGGCCATCTTCCCCTGCCCCTAGCGAACTCGGAGGAGACAGAATCACTCTAGCTGAGGCAGTTAAGGAGGCCACCGGGGAGCGGAGTGGTTGACTTTCACCACCTGTAACAAGGGGCCAGCTGTTAGGGCCGCCCCAGCTGGCTGGTCTGAACGCTCAGGAGGGACCCCCGTCACCCCGGGCCGTGACGGGATCTGAAGCTCAGGTGCAGGGAGTGTGGGCGGGGCCACAGCAGAGGCGCCTGGCCCCCGGGGTCGTGTGGCCATGCTCGCAGACACTTCTGGTCGTCAGAGCTGGGCACGTTTCTGGCTTCTTGGGCAGAGACAAGCTACGGAACTCCCGTGACGACAGGCAGCCCCCACGGCCAAGGCCACCGCTGGTGGTCCCCGTGCCAGCATGTTCTGGGGTCTGAGAGCGAGGTCAGCGATGCACAGCTCTGGGCCCAGGCCGTCTACACCAGGCACCCTTTGGCTTCAGCAACCGAGAGCGAAACGATGAGGGGGTCCCCCGCTCTGTACCGCGATGGGGCGGGGCTCACCACGTCCTGCGTGGCCAACTCCAGCTGCACACTGCATTCGCGCCATTTACTACCCAGGAGCCACCCCTCTTTGAAGCTTTGTTTTCATTAAGAATTCACATGTGGTCCAGCCAGACCTGGGGTCACTCAGAGCAGCCCCCCATGACCTCCAGTTCCCCCAGGCCCCGCCCGTGCCAGCCCGGCCCGCCCGCAGGCTTGTCCCCTCTCACCTACCATGGAATGTAGGAGCCGCATGTGATGCAGGAGACTGGGGTCCACCTGCCGGAGTTCCCTGAAGTCCATTTTCACCAGGCTGGTCACATTGTACCAGGAACGCGCTGGGCTCCTCCCTGGAACCGCAGGGGGCACAGGCTGAAGAGATACAGCCAGAGCAGGGCAGGGCCAGCGGGGCCAGGCAGGAAGGGGTCAGGCGGCCTGGACGGCAGGGCGGGAGCTGGCCTCTGGAAGGCGTGGGCACTGCCCCGCCTCCCGCCCTCACCTCTCGTACATTATCATCTGTGTGATCCTAGACACGCTATGTAATGCGTTACTGTGGACAATGCGTGCTAGATAATACTGTGTGTCATATAGATTTATACAACATGTACGTTGTGATGTATATAGTAAAATAGCATATTAATATACGCTAATGTGATATAACATACTTCACATTATTTATACTATACTAACACTAGAATATATTGCAATATATATTGCATGTGATGGATTTTTTCCTTACTCTGAACCTTGACCAACACGTCCTCCTGGGGGCAGCCACGGCCAAGGGCAGATCTTTCCAGACCAGACAGGCTGCCCTGAGGGCTGGGCCACAGACCTGCCAAGCAGGAGCAGCGAGCGGGACTTGGGGTACGGTCCCGCTTCAGGAGCAGCCAGCTGCGTGCCTTCCCACTATGAAACAGGTCAGCTTCCGCCAAGCTCCAGGGCCTCCCCAGTGGACCAGGGAAATTGCGGTTGCTCTGCCAGGAGTACCTTCCCCGTCAGGGCACCTGCGTGCACCCTCTCCCCGAGACGTCAGTGGCCGGCTTTCGATGGAGACGTCCATGCTTGGGAGCGGGAGGCGCCCTGCACCAGGCTGTGGGCGCCCCTCCTCCACCGTGCTCCGGACAGTCAGCCCTCACCTTCACCAGATCGGGGCCAGGCCCCCAGCCCACGGGGCTGCCTAGCTGGACACCTCCTTCGCTGCACATCTCAGTCCTACCTTGGGGTGCGGGAACCATGCAGCGGTGGCCCCCCGACCAGGGGCAGCATTTCTGAAGTCCAGGGCAGTCGGCGTCCAGGGTGCAGGGCGAGGTGGGTGCCTCTGGCCCCACCGTGGGGCAGACCCCGGGTCTCGATGCAAACTCTGAGGACCGATTCAGGGCTGGGGTGGGGCGGGGGGGATAAGTAGCGGTTAATGACATTAGCAGTGAAAGCCTGCCGGGCTGCTCGGGCTCCACACCGGGGTGCCTCCTGGCGCGGATTCTGCCTGCGGCACCCCGGGGTGCACAGTGTGGCCCACTCAAGGGCCGTGGTCAGGCCTGGGCAGTGTCATTTGATGCCTAAAGTCCTGGAGAAATTGCCACACAAGGGCCAGCTTCGAGGATATGAAATATGGGCTTGGGGAGCAATCCGGGGAGCCACCGAGATGGCAGTGCCAGCATCCCTGGGGGGCCGCCAGCCATGCATCCGGAGGTCTTTGCTTGCTCTCCCATCATAAAAACCAACAGCCTCAGGGCCCAGAAGACGCTAGACTAAATGCGAGGTGGCTTCTGGGACAGAAAAATGACATTAGGAGGGAAAAAGTGAATCCAAGGAACGTGTGTGGCTGAACCAACAGCAGCGTACTGACCGTGGTCCCTCAGTGGGACGCGTGTACCCGGGGTCCACTGGCGCTGACACCGGGGGACACTGGCTGAGGGGCATGCGGGAATCTCTACCATCTTTGCAACTTGTCTGTACGTCTACAACTGTTCTAAACGAAAAGTTTTATCCAAACGAAAAGAAAGCACAGGCCACCCAGAATACCCGGCTTCCAAAAAGGGTCGCCAATCCCAACGACGTGTTTTCGAGTTCAAGTTCGAATGGGCGCAAAGAGGAGCACTGCTGGGACTCCCCTCCTCCCACGGGGCCGGGCTCACTGAGACCCCGGGGAACCGACAACCGTCCCGACCTAGTAGAAAGTCAGAAATCTGCTTCTCCTCCGCTGGCGCATCACGAGCAGTGACACAGGACTGCCCAGCGCCTGGCGGCCCGCGTCAGCCACGGCCCGAGGAGGCCGCCCGCCGGGCATTTCCGTCCGAGGTCTCCGGGGCTCGGGGAGCTGACCCTTCCGAAATACCGTTCCGCTCCCCGCCTCCTTCCCAGGCACCCTCCTTCCCCAGAGAGGCCCTGGTCCTCAGCCCAGGGGAGACGGGGAGCTTGAGGGAGCCTCCGGGTGCAGTGGGGTCCCCCTGCCATGATGACGGGCCAGCGGTGGAGATGGGCTGAGCGGACACCAGGGTGTCACAGCAGCAGGCGAGCGTCGGCTACGACAGTCTCACCCCCAGCTTGTGCATAGCCGCGTTGTTTGTAACAGTGAGAACTTGGAAGCAGCTAGCTGGCCGATGGCCGATGGCCGATGGCCGATGGCAGGTCGCTTCACGCTGACATCCGCATGAGGCGATGCCGCGTGGCCATGAAATCACGCTGCAGAGCAGTGTTTATTGACAGAAAAGATGTTCCGGGTAAATCGCCAAACGGTGGAAGCGTGCTACACACAAGCCTCGGACGAGGTGACCACGCTTTTGTGGAACATCCGCCCGAAGGAGCAGAGAAGGGAGAGCTAACGCGGGCCACGTGTGGGCGGCAGGCTCGCGGGCGACGGCCCTCCATTCTCTCCTGCGCTTCCAGACTCCCGCGTGCCTCGTGTATTCGCGTATGTAATTATAGTCAAAAGATACTTTTAAAGACAATAAGGAATGAGGAACGTGAAAATCCAAATGCTGGATGTTTAGAAATTGAAAGCCACTTAGACTGAAAGCCATGTCACGTGTTCTCATAACTCGCTTCCCTTTTTAGACCGTCGCTGGCCGAGTGGGAAAGGGAAGGGGGGGAGTTCGAGGTTTCGCTGCTGCCTGGAGGAGAGGCCTCTGAGCTGAGAGCGCGGGGTCGCCAAGACCCAGGTCACCCCACGTCTGGGGGACCCAAGAACGAAGAGCGCCTTCTGCATCCTGTCCCGTGCCAACTCCTTGGCCGCTCCCTGCGGCTGCCCCGCCCCCTGCCCCCCCACCACCGCTTTGGCCTCTGCCTCAGGCCATGCGGAGCAAACGGTGGGTTTGGGGGATCACGTACAGCAACGTCTCAGTCGAGGTTCCAAAGGGCCAGCCTGTCACCAGCCTGTCACTCTGCAAGGGAGCTTCGATCAAACATCACACCCTGATCTGAGCCCGTGTGGGCCGGGCTGCCAGCCTGGTGCTCTGAGTGCGGCGTGGGCGAGAGGCTCAGCGTGGCCGGCGAGAGCTCGGTGGCCCCCACAAGGCGATGCCACAGCACAGGCGGTGCCCGATGCCCGCCCCCCACCCCCGGAGTAGGAGTCCCGCCTGCTCCGTGTCTCGAATCTTCCTCAGTGCTGTGGTCCCCCCATCCAGCCAAGGCACCTGCCCCGAACGCCACAGACAGAACCTGGCACGGGTGGCAAGAGTCAGGCCCAAGTCTCTGTGATCTTGGTCAAGTCACCTGCCACCCCCAGCCTATGTCCTCGTCTGCAGAGCGGGGGAGCCTCCTGTCCGGGACTGACTGCGGCCCTCCCTCGCTGGCCTGTCCTACAGGACACGCTCCAGCAGGGCCCTGGTCCCCCCGTTCTTTCCTCTGGGCTCCCGCGCCCCCCTCTCCAGACTCAATGCTACAGTAGCGCTTCCGAGCCCCAGGGGAGACCGTGGGCGCCCGGCCCCAGCTGTGAGGGGCCGGGTCCTTCTGGGAGAGCTCTCCCTCCCCCCGCAGTGTCCCAGAGCAGCCTCGCCCCCGGGACTCACTAGAATGTTCTCGTCCCCTCCCTCCCCGTTGAGTTCCTAATTAAGGTGCTAATTAGGACTGTGAATATGGGCCGATGTCCCGTGAGAGCCACTTCTTAGAGACGGTGGAGTGGCAGGCGGTGGGGAGGGGACAGCGGCCACCCCTGCCTTCTCTTGGTGGGAATTTACTTGTTTAGCTGGCAGGGCAACGGCCACTACAGAAAGGTGACCCTTCAGCATGGGAGGAGCTGGCGTGGCTCAGCGTCTCCTGGGTCCTATCCTCCATCCCCCTGGACATGTGACCTCTCTCACCGACAAGAGTCAGCATGTGGGAAGCCTACTGCCTTCAAGGTGAAGGTCAGGGCAGGATGGCACCCACCTTCTCCCCCTGGATTCTGATGCTCCAAACCGAAGAGCCATGGGCCCCGAGGCCTCCACAAAAAAAGGGCACCCCCCACTGCTCAGGAGAACAGGTGCTCCCAGGCCAGAGGCAGCAGCTCGGCTGGCCCCGCTCTGTACCTGTGGCCCTTGGAGACAGGGAAACTGGAGAGGCAGCTGGTGTCAGCACAGGAAGGGACTCCTTAGGCCCAGCACCTGGATGGGACCTCCCAGGGACAGCCCTTCCCTGCAAGCACCCCTTGAAGGAACCAACGGGGACGCGCAGCTGGCCCCAAGCCGCAGGCCCGGAGGCTGGCTGGCCCTGCCTGGGTTTCGGTGGCAGTGTTAGTGACAATGGTGCCACGTTAACGCTCAGCCCTGAGCCGTCGGGACGTCCTCGAACAGGGCCAATGGAGAGTGGCAGGCATCCCTGTCCTGTGTGACGTTCTTGTCTGTTCTCAGATTTCTGCAAGGCTTGTATATTCATTTTTGTAATTATAGTAAAAAGATACACTTAAGTAAACCGACATATCAATTATCATTGCGTTCCAAATGCCGGATTTAAAAAAAACTGAAAGTCGTTTAGACTGAAAGGAACATCACGTGCCCTTGCAATATTCTTCCCGTTTTAGATCATCGGTTACTGAGCTGTTTGAGGAAGGCACGCTCAGATGACTCAGCGTGCCAAGCGCACCAGGCCTTCTCAGGGTGGGCGGGACCGAGACCGCCCCCCGCAGCCCCAGGGGGGCCAGCACCCCCGCTGCGCGCCATCCGTGCCAGCCATCCGCCTGGACGCCTCGAGCCGGTGCTTCCTGCACTCCTGAGGGGACAGCCCTCCAAGCTGGGGGTGGCCCGGTGACATTCCCTGGAGCCACGCCCTTCCCACTTCCCCTCCACGACGGGGTGTGGACGGGGGACTTTCTGACTGCTCAGAAGCTCACTTTGGACCTGACATTGGCTCAGAGGTAACAGGCGCCACGACTCACGTGCATCGCACATGCACTCCTCCCCGGGAAGGGGTCCCCGGAAAGCTCCCGGCATGTCGAGGAGCTGAGCCCTGACCCCACACGGCGTGGCCTGTCCAGCCTGTCCCACTGTCCCACACAGCTAACGGTCACCCCGTTAGTCGCCGTACTGTGGAAGTAGGAGGACTTGGGGACCTCCAGGCAGTTAGGGGGGACTGGGGGTCCCCTTCCATCTCTTTCACATACTGCAGTTCAGATTGGGGTTCCGAATAAAGCAAGCATCCACCACGGCTTTTAACAAGAGAAGGTGGCAGCCAACACAGAAGAGATCGCGATGCTGGTTCTCAAACTCGGCTCCGTGTCAGAATCACATGGGGAGCTTTACAACACCCCGGCGCCCAGGCGACACCCCACAGTGCTCATCACACGCTGAGGGCGGCGCCCAGCCTCAGCATCGTTGAAGCTGCCCAGTGGCCTGCCACGTCAGCCAGGCCTGAGAGCCAGCGCTCTGGGACAAAGGCTGTCAAACCGGGGCCCTCGGCCGGCAGCCTCCGCATACCTGGCTAGCTGGGCCTGAAACCCGGGCGGGGCCGTGACCTGTGCTTGGACAGGCCCCCGGACGACCCGATGCCCGCTCACGGCCGAGCACCGGCGCTGCGGCCGCGCCGGCAAGTCCAGGGCGAAAGGCCCCCACAACGGTGTCTGTCGGGAGGCTCATCAGGTCCCCCCCACCCCGCCCCGTGAGGAGGAGGTGGGCCCTCCCCCCACCCCCTGGCACCCCGCACTCACGCAGGACGCAGTACAGGCCCAGCTGCTCGTAGCCCTCACAGCAGTCGGTCACGTTCCTGGACGCGGGGACGTCCACTGCCAGGTACCGGGTCCTGTAAACGGTCTTGGGGCACCGCCTCCAGGGGATCCACCCGCCGCAGGGGGCGTAGGTCGCTTGGGACAGCTGGACGGCCTCCACCTTCTGGACATTCTGGGTCACGCTGTAGTTGCACAGCTGGTAGCCCAGCAAGGACAGGCCTTTCTCTACGAGGGGGGGACCGGGGACAGCCGAGGTTAGGACCGAATCGACACGGGGTTCCCTACAAGTCCCCTCTCCCAAGAGAACAGGTGCCACGGGACCCCCAAGCAGCACAGCCCCTCGGAGGCGGGCCAGGCCCGCTGAGAAGTCAGCAGACACTGCAGGGGCAAAGCGTGAATGGAGACCCGCCCGCTAGGAACCCTTCTCTGCGGAGGGTGGCGACGCCGCCTGCCTGAGCCCAGCTGCCGTGGCTCAGGGCGCGGACGGCAGACATGGCGGAGTCAGACGTCGGGGCTCGGTCCCCGAGTTCCGCTCCACACCCCGATTCTGCAGCGGGAGAATCTCATGCATGTCTATCGCTCTCCACGAGCTGCAGGTGTGTCACAGGTGAAATGCGTCCTGACAACACCAGCAGTGACTGTACACGGAAGGCCTATCATGCCCGGCACGGCCGGCAACGGCGCCCTTGATGGAAGATGAATAAATCTCAGGCACATCCGAGGGTCCCTAGATGGTCAAGTTCAGTCCGTCCGGTGCTGTCACCACCGGGAGAGCGGGCACAGTGCCCGCTGCAGGACAGCCGGCTGGGTTTACCGGGCCTGGATGTTGCCTGTGCATAACGCCCACATCACTCGGTTTTCTGGGCCACATGGCTGTCACCAGCCCCAGGTCTCTCTGTCACAGGCTGTGTGGTTCTGGGCGTCCCATCTGTTTAGGGAGCCTCTGTTGTCCCACAGCCCAGGAGCTGTGACGATCTGAACCGAACCTCCACCCACCCACCCGACATGCACGTGTGGCAGTTCTCACCCCCAGCACCTCCGAATGTGGCTCGTTTAGTAACAGGGGTTTTGCGGATGCAGTTAGTTAAGATGAAATTAGGCTGGGGCGGGGCGGCCCCGATCCGCCAGGACTGGCGTCCTCAGAAAGGGGAAACCTGGACACAGAAACAGGAGTGCACATGGGGAGATGGAGGCAGAGATCGGGGTGATGCGTCTACAAGCCAAGGAACGCCACTGGCTGCTGACGAGCCAGCAGGAGCTGGGGGAGAGGAGGGGGCGGATTCTCCCCCACGGCCCCAGGAGGAGCCAGCCCTGCCCACAGCCTGATCGCGGCCTCCGGCCCCCAGCACTGTGAGAGTACAAACCTCGATTGCTTGAGCCCCCAGCCTGTGGTTCTTTGTCCAGGCAGCCCCAGGGGGCTTGCACGGAGGCCATGGGTGCCCCCCACTTAGTGGCAAGCACAGGGCTCTCTGCACTCGGGGCTCTCAGTGTGGGATGGATGCAAGGTCTGAATATATCTCAGATTTTTAGATTCTCAACCTCTGAGCTCCAAGTTTTATGAGACTGTACAGCTAACAGGTAGGCACTCAATCTTACAGCGTAGACACCTCCGTGAGAAGCTGAGTTTCTAAGGAGGAACTCAGGGGTGCAGCATAAACCATCCCCACCCCAGCACCCCCACGAAGTCCCTCTTTTGGCCACACAGCAGCCCCTAATTGTCAGAAAGCAAGAGTCAGGGGGCTGAGGATCCCCAGGAGGAATCAGGCTGAGCTAGCCCTCCAGCCCGGGAGAGGCTGCTGGGAGAGGCTGCAGCTGTACTTGGGGTGAATACAATGATGGGTCACCCCAGGTGAGCCAGGTGACTGTCTCCCCATCGCCACTGCGGTATCAGGGCCTCTGGGAGTGGAAACACTGGCTGCCCGTCCCCACCAAAGGGGCGAGTGACAGTAAGCTCTGGGAAGGAATGGAAGGCCCCCTTCACGTTATGCGGGTAGCGCAGGAGAAATCAGCCTTCAGGAGCAGGGTAACGTGGCACAGAGCTAGGCCCAGAGCTTAAAGGTGACTTGGAGGAAATGACCACTGTGAACTGGTCACTGACTGAGTGATCGGCTGACGAGACAAAGCGCAGGGACCTCTTGCACTGAGAATTTGTCACGACGGATCTAGGCTTTGTTTTCCATCTTCACCCAAGACAAGATGCCGACCACTAATGAAGGTTACACTTCCCTGTCTCCAGAGAGCCACCAGGCTCCATCTGGCCGTGACAGGTCCCAGCTGATCATTTAGCACAGCCCTCTGCACACACGCACACACACACATCTCCTGCGAAACCACACTTGGGATCGACTTGTTTTGTTTTATTTTCGACATTCTCCCCAGGGGCCACCGGGCCCTTTCCAAGCCTGGCTTCTTGGCAGAGCCCGGAGGACAAAGCTTCCAGCAGTCACTGCTATTCAGCGAACCCTTCTATGAGCCACCAGCGTGGCAGTCGGGGGTCCTGGGTGCCATCTCAGGGATGGGACATCTTCACGCTCCGTGGGGAGCCCGGGCTCCGGGGCCTGGAGACCACGTTCATTCACGTCGGCCTCACAAACGCCAGCGGTGTGATTCTGAGCTCGTTCATGCTCTCAGTGCTCAGTCTTGTCACCTGTGAAATGCTGGCTGTGCCCCGAGGTCGTCAGATTAAGCAACACGACGCCTGTCAGAGGCAGTATCTGGCTCGCCAGAGCAAATGAATGTGCACCCCTGAGCACCCCGAGCTTCTGTCCAGGGTCTGCCTGTGTGCAGTCGGGGGAGGGGGTTGCGGGATCCCCTGAGGTCTCCTCCAGCTTCGCGAGGTTCCCACTGGTTCTGTGGCCGGGCTGTGTGGTGCACACATCACCCATTCCCAAAGGAAAACTCAAGAAAAAGAAATCACTTTAAACCAAACTCTTGCTGATGGGTGGAAGCACGTTAAACTGGCGCGTAGCGCAAGCGGATCGTAGGGCCGGCGTGGGCACGTTAGCGGGACGAGGCAGACTCGAAGACCAGAATAATGTAAAAGGTCTGCGACCTAAGTCTCTGCCATTTGGGGCTTCAGGAATCCAGCACGTTTTTAGCGGTGGACCACGGGCCTCGCAAAGGCTTCGGGTGGATCCCTCGCTCGACCCCTTACTCCACCGCCGGCCACTTTCGTCCTCATTTTCCATGGAGGGAACCGGGGCTGGCAGAACCCTCGGTGAGGGGCGGCTGGACGAGAGCCCGCCTCCCCGGCCGCGTCTCGCTGGTGGGAGCTGTGTGGCCGTGGCGACTGGGGCCCTCCCTGTCCCTCTCCTTGTCCGTAGGCCGAAGGCGCTCAGCACGCCAGGGTTCAGAAACCTCGATTCTGTGCCTGCTCTTGGTGTGACCCCCCGACCTTCGGCGCCCGCACCACTGGCAGAAATGCAGGGTTCCGGGCCCCAGCCAGGCCCAGCGACCCAGAACCCGCACTCGAACCCACAGACCCCCTGGTGATTTCAAGGCACACGCTCCACCTCTTTTGTGGTTATGAGAGCGTTTGGGGAGAAGGCACAGGTGTCAGCTCTCAAAGCGGAAGCCTCCTGAGCTCTCAGCAAGGCCGCTGTCCCCACGCGTGAGGCCGGTTCCCAGGGAGCCCCCCGCTCCTCCGGCATCACCCTCACCCAGCCAGGTCCCCTCACCTGTGAAGCCACTGGCCTGGCTGGGGCCCACGGCGCGGAGCAGAGCCAGCAGGGCCAGCCCGAGGGTCCCGAGCATGGTGGGACGTGGGTCCGTGGCTCTGCGTCTGCCTGAGCCCAGAGAAAGGGCCCTTCTGTCCCCTGTGCTGCCGATGGTGGCAATGGCTTCGGAGGGTGTGCTCGCAGGGAGCAGTCCCTTATGCCTGCTCGTTAACGCCTGCCACTGCCACGGCCGTGTCCCTCGGGGCGCCTGCGTGTCCCAGCCCATTCTCACTCCGGGCAGATGGCATCTCTGAGGAAAGATGAGCACCCGGCCGCCAGGCCGCATCGCTGCCCCCCATCTCGCTGTTACGCAGGAAACACAGTTCGAGCTCAAATCTGACTCCCTCCATCGAGGACGAAGTATTCTGTTACCTTATCATCCAGACCTGGCAGGAGAAGACAGCGTCGGATCAAAGTGGTCCATCGGACTCAGAAAAGCATCCCTCCCACACATGGACGGCACCGATCCAAAGCCTCGGAAATGTCCCTACGCCTTAACCCAGGGGTCGTTTCCTGGGGGTGGGCCTGAGGGCCGGGAGGCTGCAGTCCCGAGATGGGATTTCAAACGGGGAAGCATCGGGTGAGCCGCGGAGGGAGAGCAGGGAATCTGGACGCGACGTCCACAGACGCCGACGGGCCCCCTGAAGACACCTCCCAGTGTGAGGTCGGCACGGCACGTCCTGCAGTCCCGTCTTCATAAAGACTGCGACGCTGTCGGACGGCGTGAGAAAGGGCACAACCCCGAGGGGGCCACAGGGACAGACGAGGGCATCGTGAGGGGGGACGGGACGACGGCTGTTCCCGCTTTGTTTCAGTGGCCAGCACGTTGCACATGAACTGGACTTTTAAATTTGGTGTGAAACTCTGTCTAGTCGATCACGCCTTCTTAGTCTCCTGCTGGGTCGGTCTCCGTCCGTGCTTAGTGCTGAAAACTGAGGCTCGATTTTTAACGTTAGATGAAGGTCTCACTCAGTCTGCTGAGACAACCTGCTGCTCGGGCAACGAAGCCCCATCCTGGCTGATGGTTCACACGTTTAAGTCCCTGGAGTTCAAAACACGAGCGGTCGTTCCAGAAGGGAGCTTCTAGCCTAGCGCCTCGTCAAGGTTGCTACATCTTCTAGTCTCGGGAGAGTCACCTCTGAGATGATGAACTAATGGATGGATGACACCTGCCAGGACAAGAATTATGAAAAAAGGAGCTGGAAATAACTGCGAAGTTAAGGGGCTCGGGGACATTTCCAGAAGACCACGGCCTTGGTAGCAAACCCGGGGTGAGGGGTGGGCTCACCCACTGCGCCGTAGCGGAGCCTTAAAAAAAGTTTCCCCAAGAAAGAAGCACAGCGTAAAGCTGTAATGCAATATTCAGCAGAATAAAATTTAATGAACGCTAACAGAACAAACTTAAAAAATATTGTAATTTAGGTAAATCTGAACACTTAAAAATGCGAGATCAGTGTATCGTCCTATCATCCGTTAGAACACTTGCTGCTGAGATACGGGGATGCTCCTGTGAAACAGGGAGAGGGCATCGAGGACAATGCTACGTTTCAAAACTCGAAGTTGGCCCCGCGCACCGTGCCCTCTCATCTTCGGAGCCACCCTGTGAGGTGGGTCCCTTATGCCCACTGCACAGATGAAGAAACGGAGGGTCAGAGAGGCCCCACAGCAACCCCGAAGCCTGAGCTCCTCACACCTCACTCCCGTCTGGTCACAGTTCCAACTAGGAGAACATCCGGTCAGAGTCCTCGAGGCGAAGCAAAGTCAGGACATCTCACCAGCTAAGCGCTGCATGCTGATTTGGAAGTCTCCATAAAACGCTTTCTCTTTATGTTAAAACTCACCTGGTCAAGCACCCCTCACAAGTGACAGTGTGTTTCTAACTTGGTCCTCCCTCAACACCCCCTTTCATGCAGGCACAAGAAGGATAACCGCGTGTGTGTTTGTGTGTGTGCGTGCGTGTGTGTCTGCGTGTGTTCATTTAATCTGCAGTGACGCCTTTTCCTCCACGTATTATTGATGTGTGATGGCTCTAGGCATTTCCCACGTCTGCCTTTTTCATGGAAACACTCTGATGAGAAAAGTCACCTTGCACTGTAGCCCGACAGGGAGAGGGAGGCCCCTCCAGGACGTCAAGTCGTCACATCTCGGGTGTGTCAGACTCAGGTTCATCCAGCAAACATCCCCGGGTTTGCTCGGTGTCCGAGAGCTGGAGACGAGGGTGCGATGCTAGATGCACACACTCATTCGCACACACTCACACTCAGGCACACTCGTCCAGACACATTCATACGCACACTCTCATATGTGTACACACATACAGGCACATTCGCACATGCTCACACATGTGCACACTCGCCACATTCACTCACACTCGTGCACACTCTCTCGCACTCATATGTGTACGTATGCATGCAGATGCTCACACGCCTGTACACTCACACGCAATTTCACACATGCATGTGTTCGTGCAGATGCACACCCCCCGCACATTCACACATGTGCAGAAGCACATGGGATGAGGGCGTGCTCCCTGCTGCTGGCCCAGCGTCTCCACGGCACTGAGCCGTGTCCCTCACTTTTAGTGACGGTGCCTGAGCTGAGCTCTGTGTCCTTTCTCAAGAGGGGAGGGAGGAGTCTGCATTAGGTGACTCTAAAGGGCCTTTCCCATCTCGGCTTCTCAATTCTGCAGGCCCGAGGCTCAATAGACTCCACTACAAAATCATGTGAGGGGAAAACATACAGCCCCAGGGCCGTCCTGGGCTGTGGCGATCCTGTCCCTCGGGACAGATGTGCGTGGCCATGTGGAGCTCACGACAGCGGTCTGGAGCATGGCTCACTGCTCACAGCCTCCTTCCTGGAAACGTGCTCGATGCACGGCCCTGACGATGACCACCTGTCAGGCCGTGTGCCCTCCTGCGTGACCTGGCCTCAGGTCGGGGGGTGATACCACAGGTGGCAGGAACACGCACACGAGGGCCGTCCGCAGTGAGAAGGCTACCCGGTGTCCTGGCTGCGGACGCCCGTGGGGACTGTGGGCCCTGATGGGGACAGCGTGGAGACCGGTGACTGCTCTGTTCATTGCCAATGAATAGGGACGATGCTGGAACGAGATGGGGAGGCGTCTTGGCCTCTTAGGGGCTGACCAGGCAGGGTCGTTTCCAGGGAACACTGGCTGACAGACAGTCGTGATGGACAGCCAAGGAGCAGCTTCGTAAAGTGTGAAGATGCGGGTTTGGGAGACCCCGCAAGTGACCTGCTCCAGCTTCCGACCCAACCCAGGCTGCTCTCCGGCACTTGACGGTGTTTTGCAGCAAGCTGAGGACCCCCCGCCCAGGCACCGTGGGAGGGGGCTCGCGGGAGGGGGCTCGCGGGAGGGTAGCACGGGGTCGCTCTGTGCCTCCATCCCCTGCCTACAGCGTGGGGACGATCCTGCCTCCCAATCCGGGAGTGTACGCGCCTCCTGATTTTGTGAGAACCGAATAAAACGGTGTATGGAAAAGCTTCCTAGGACTGTAGGGCTCTCTTAAGAGATCCATCTTCTGTGGCCATTCACTGCAGAAGAGGCATTATTGGGGAAATTGAATTAAAAACAAAATCCGCTCCCACCTCAGAAAAACCTCTCCCAAAGTAGAAAAGAAAGAAAAGCACTTTTATTATTGAATGAGCATCGAACCAGGAGGCGATGGGCCACACGCACTCCGCCCAGAGATGACAGAGACAGACCGAAATCTCACCTTGTTTATAACCAAGCAGACACAGCCCACTCCATCCAGGCAAATGACAACCAGTCTCCAAGTAAGTGGGCTTCTAGCACCATTGACAGCATGTGGCCCACGTAAACTCACCCTGTAATCGGGGTGACCGTCTGTGTAAGCTAATTGGCTTTCTCCAGAGGCAAAACAAGTCTCGCATCCTTATGACAGGTCATTTTGCAGACGAGACCCTAGACTCCTGCCCTCCCGCAGAAACTGGAAACTGAGGCCTATTTCCCAGGACTTTTGCTTTCCAAAGAGAAGTTCCAAGAAGACATCCGTAGGTCATAAAGCCATAAGATGCCAATCTCATCTTCGAAAGGATTTATATACATTGCAGAGAGAGGAGAAAATTCTTCGGTATTGCAAGGTTTCTGAAGCATATGCTCAGAGAGAAAAGAGGGGAGAGAAATCTCTCCCTTCATTTTTCACGGAAAAAATTAGGCCTCTAGGTTTTGATTTGTATTTATCCTTACAGTGTAAATGGCAGCAATCAGTCTGCGGGGCTTAGGGCCACACGCCAGGCAGGACAGACTGGATGCCTTCCCCGCACCCTCCGACTCGGAGCTTCTGGGCACTACAGATGAGTTTTAGAACCTTTTAATAGAGCACGCACACTACGATCAGGAATGACATTGGCCCTAATAATAACTAATAATTGTGATAATAACTAATGGTTCTCGTAGAAGCTAATGCAATTCAGAAACAAAATGCGTTCAGATGAGGGTCCTAGAACCGGGCAGTGGCAGGATGCTGGGCTGAGACGAGGTGTCACCGGCTCCAGACTCGACTCTGTGTGGGTTGGGGCCGTCCTCAGTCCTCGGACATCAGGCTCGACTCCACACGGTGGGAAAGATGACAAGCTGGGTCCCCTGTCGGTACCAGATATCGTAATGGCATCGTCTCTCTCAGGACAGGTTGCAACAGCATTTCTAGAACTTATCGGGTCAGTTCAATGATGGATACCATGTGTGGATCCGAAATAATGAAGCAAGATCAGTACCTGAGGCAAACCACAATGATCACAAGAGCACGTCTACAGTGGGCCATCTCAGAGACCTTCCTGTGGAAGGATCCCAGGTAAGTTACGTTTAAAACAGAAGGGGTCACCCCAGCTGCATCCCATCCCATCCCCGGCCAGCTGCATCAACAATTCACTCCTGGAAAACGTCGCCATCCCAAGGCCAGCAGTCTGCCCACCAAGAGGCGGGGTTGGAGCTAGAAGCAAATCACCAGAGTCATTTACCACAAACCTGAGTCAGGCTTTCCTTTTGAAGAGGACAGG